CAGATGTGGACAAATTATAATATCAGTGTTGTTTCTGCAAAAAAACGGTGAGCTATGAAGTTTTGGATAAAAAGAAAGATTCAGGCTGAAAAAGATGGTAACGAAGTTGAGGAGAAGGAAAGCGAAAGTTTAAAAACAGCTTAGATATGAATAAGTCACAAGTGGTGTTCTTTACTCTCTGCTCTTTTTTCAGTTTCTGTCTTTTTCTTAATTCTCTATATGGATGTGTGGAGAGTGGGTTCATTAAAATTAATGGGGGTAGGGACAAGAATAAATTAGCAAAGATTTCTGAGTTTTTAAGAATCGAAAGGTTAATGTTTGTTTTTTACAAGAAACGCATACAGACACTGAATGAGGTCGAATGGGGGTTGTGGTGGAAAGGAAAATTTGCCTTGAGTCATGACACAAGAAATAGTGCGGGGGTAGCTATTTTATTTTCTAAAAGTGTGAGTATTGTAAAGATAGAAGAAATTGTGAAAGGAAGAGTACTTTTAACACAAATTGAGTATAATGGAATAGAGTCTGTATTTGTTAATGTTTATGCTCCTAATAATGGTCCAGAGAGGCTGATATTTTTTATGGAGTTAAGGAAGTGCTAAAAAAATATGATGATAATGTTGTCTAATACTTGGAGGTGATTGGAATTGTACAATAGACTTTGTTGTTGATAGGAATGGAGAAGAGCCTCATAGTAAGTCAAGGGATGTATTAAAAAAAGTTATAAATGAATTTCAGTTAACAGATGTATGGAGAACGAGGAATGAAGGAGTAAAGCAGTATACGTGGCTAAGAGTGGTTGATAAGAATTGTGTGGGCGAGATTGGATAGGTTTTATCTAAAAAAGACATGGACAACAAGGTGATGAATACTTTTATTAGACCTAATGGTTTTCAGACCATCATATGGTCATATTAGATGTTAATTTGGAAAAAACATGCAGATCTAATTATTACTGGATTTTTAATATTAAGTTATTACAGGATGTCTCTTTTGTGAAAAGTTTAAAGTTTTCTGGGATATTTGGAAATTGAAGAAAAATTCTTTTGAAAACCTAAGTCAATGGTGGGAGTGGGCAAGACAAATATAAAAATTTTGTCAAAACTATGCTTTCCACTCATCAATTATACTATAAGCAACAGTGAAAGCTTTACAAAGTGACATTGAGTTCATTGAAAGACAAGCTGTAAATAATAATGAAGCTGTACAGTGTCATGGGTTAAATAAGAAAAGACAAGAGCTAAGCTCTTCTACATGAGCAAGCAAAAGGAGCATTGGTGAGATCAAGATACTGTTCTGTAAAAGAAATGGATGCTCCAAGTGCTTTCTTTTTTAACCTGGAAAGGAAACATGTCCAACAAAAGATGATGTGCCATCTTCGTCGTTCGGATGGATCCGTGACATCAGATCCTACAGAAATGAGAAGATTGGCTGGAGACTTTTATAAACTATATACAGCTGAGAGTTGTGACATTGACTGCACTAAAGACTTGCTTAAGGACTTACCTCAGCTGGAAGAAGAAAAGAAAAAAGAGCTGGATGATGTAATAACTTTTCATGAGGTTACAGAGGCGATGAGGCAACTATCTAACGGCAGATCGCCGGGGATTGATGGATTACCGGTGGAGTTTTATCAACATTTCTGGGACCTAATAGGACCAGATTTATATGAAGTTATTTTAGAATGCATAAAAAATAATGCACTTCCGATAAGTTGCGTCGAGCAGTTTTGTCATTGCTTCCAAAGAAAGGAGACCTTGGACTGCTAAAAAACTGGAGACCGGTATCACTGTTGTGTCTGGACTATAAGATTGTTTCGAAGTGTTTAGCAAATAGACTCAAGCACTGTCTGGATTTGTTGATCAAAAATGACCAAACATATGTATTCCTAAGAGATCTATAATAGATAGTTTTTTTAGTGAGAGATATAATTGAATTTAATCAGAAAATTAAGAATGATTTAGGAGTGTTGTCATTGGACCAAGAAAAGGCGTTTGATCGTGTTGATCATGATTATCTTTTTAAAGTGTTAAAGGGTTATGGATTTGGTGATTTTTATTTCATATATTAAGTTGTTGTATTCAAATGTTTATGTGATGGTGAAAGTAGGGGGTGGTTTAAGTGCTCCAATACCCGTGACAAGAGGCATCAGGCAAGGCTGTCCAATTTCTGGACAACTATATAGCCTAATTATGAAACTCTATTATGTAGGTTGAGGAAGAATTTAAATGGAATTCTAATTCCTCATGGAACGGTCATTCTAAGGTGGTTTTATCAGCCTATGCAGATGATATTACAGTTTTTATTAAAGAAAGAGAGATATTGAAATTTTAACAAAAACTATTGAATTGTATGAAAAAGCCTCCTCTGCTAAGGTCAATTGGACAAAAAGTGAAGGTTTTATGATTGGCAATTTGGAAAATTTTCCACAACTTCCAGGAAGGTTGCAATGGAAGAAAGATGGACTAAAGATTTTAGGAGTTTTTTTGGGAAATGATCAATTTCAGAAGAAAAACTGGGAGGGTTTGTTAGAGAAGGTGTCTGCCCGATTGTCGAAGTGGCGATGGCTATTACCACAATTGTCATATAGAGGAAGGGTGCTGGTAGTAAACAATCTGGCTGCTTCTATTCTGTGGCACAGGACTATGGTCATGGAGCCACCAGAGGAACTGATCTCCAGTATACAAAGGGAAATAGTGAATTTCTTCTGGGATGGACAACATTGGTTGCGGGCTGCCGTGTTATACCTACCAGTGCAAGAAGGCGGCCAAGGACTAGTGGATGTGAGAAACAGAGTCCGTGGTTTCAGGATACAAGCGGCACAGAAATTTCTGTATGACAAAGATGTGCTTTGGGGAAAGACTGCAAGTGCGATCATGAGGAGAGTTGGTGGCTTTGGACTGGATAAACAACTCTTTTTAATGAAGCTTGAAGAAATGAACTTGTCTGAGCTCACTGTGTTTTACAGGGCTATGTTGCAAACATGGAGAACTGTTATAGAGCAGAACGGAATATGGACAATCTAGAACTTTGGGCACCAGAGGAACCACTTTTTTTAATCCATTGATTCAAACTAGAATATTGTCTTCTGTGACTGTACGACAATGTCTATTAAGGAATGGAATTGTTAAGCTGGATCATTTATTGAATGACGAAGGATGGAAACCGATTGATGAACTTCACGAAGCAACAGGATTGAGATCTTCACGTCTGGTGTCAAAACTAAAGGAAGAAATAAACAACGCATTACCAAGTGGGTACAGAAGTTTTATTGCACAAAAAAGACATGAGAATAACCAGGACATGGGGGATAATGTGCAATTTCCAGAACTGGTTATTCTCCAGCAGTGAAGGAGGATGATAGAAGAAGTGGTCGACACCGTTCTATCCTTTGGGAATCCTCAGTTTTGTTCCTTTAAAAGCATGTCAAAGAAGGAAATGTACAACATTACAGTAAAGGCCATTCATCAGGACTCTTTTAGAAAACAGAAGGCTTCGAAGTGGCCAGATTTGTTGAGGCCAGACTTCCTGATAAGAGACAGGTGGAGGGCCCTATATAAGCCTCCTGTAGAGAAGCGCTCCGGCGATCTACAGTGGAGGATTATTTATGGGGCGATAGCAACAGACGGACATGTGGCACACCTGAACACAGCGGTAAAGGGGGAATGTCGATTCTGTGGGGAAAAAGAGGATTTGGAGCATTTGTTTTTAAAGTGTGAGAGATTAAATGGTATTTTTAAATGCTTGGGAGCTGGTTTAGGAAATTTGATGAGGAGTTTTCGGATAGGGTGTTTATTGGAGGAATCAAATTCATTTTCAAAAAGGAAAAAAATGTGTCTTTTAAATTACCTAATTGGAACGGCTAAACTGGCAGTGTGGAAAACACGGAAAATAAAGGTCTAAAATTGGCAACTGTAGATCCTGAAGAGATGTGCAAGCGGCTTGTAGCGGGGAGGCTTAAGATTGAATTTGCGTATTATAGGTTGACAATAATTTATTTGGGTTTTGTGAGATATGGTGTGTTGATGAAGTGTTATGTAAGTTGCATGACGATCAGTTTGTTTTGAAGTTTTAAAAAAGGAGTTTTATTATAAGAGTAAATGGTTTATGGTGATGGTTACTTTGTTCATAATTTGAAGTAAAATGTATAAATAAAGGTATGTTAAACCTCTCGCTGTCTCTCTCGCTGTCTCGCTCTCTCTCTCTCTGTCTCGCTCTCTCTCTCGCTGTCTTTCTCTCTCTCTCTCGCTGTCTTCTCTCTCTCTCTCTCGCTGTCTCTGTCTCTGTCTCTCTCTCTCTCGCTGTCTCTGTCTCTGTCTCTCGCTGTCTCTCTCTCTCTCTCGCTGTCTTCCTCTCTCTCTCGCTGTCTTTCTCTCTCTCTCTCTCGCTGTCTCTGTCTCTGTCTCTTCGCTGTCTCTCTCTCTCTCTCGCTGTTTTCTCTCTCTCTCTCTCGCTGTCTCTGTCTGTCCTCTCTCTCGCTGGTCTCTGTCTCTCGCGTCTCTGTCTCTCTCTCTCTCTCTCTCGCTGTCTCTCTCTTGCTGTCTCTCTCTCGCTGTCTCTCTCTGTCTCTCTCTATCGCTGTCTCTCTCTGTCTCTCTCTCTCTCGCTGTCTCTCTCTGTCTCTCTCTCTCGCTGTCTCGCTCTCTCTCTTCGCTGTCTCGCTCTCTCTCTCTCGCTGTCTCTCGCTCTCTCGCTGTCTCTCTCGCTGTCTCGTCTCTCGCTGTCTCTGTCTCTCTCTGGCTGTCTCTCTCTCGCGTCTCTCTCTGTCTCTCTCTGTCTCTCTCGCTGGGCAGGAGTGTGAACAATGACAACCTGTAGGAAGCTTTCTGTCTCTCTCTGTCTCTCTCTGTCCCTCTCTTGTCTCGCTCTCTCTCTCTGTCTCGCTCTCTGTCTCGCTCTCTTCTCTGTCTCTCGCTGTCTGTCTCTCTCTGTCTCTCTCTCGCTGGGCAGGAGTGTGAACAATGACAACCTGTAGGAAGCTTTTCTGTCTCTCTCTCTGTCTCTCTCTGTCTCGCTCTCTCTCTCTGTCTCGCTCTCTCTCTGTCTCGCTCTCTCTCTGTCTCGCTCTCTCTCTCTCTCTGTCTCTCTCTCTCTCGCTGTCTCTCTCGCTGTCTCTCTCTCTCTCTCTCTCTCGCTGTCTGTCTCTCTCTCTCTGTCTCGCTGTCTCTCTCTGTCTCGCTCGCTGTCTCTGTCTCTCTCTCGCTGTCTCTCGCTGTCTCTCGCTGTCTCTCTCTCTCGCTGTCTCTGTCTCTCTCTCTCTCTCGCTGTCTGTCTCTCTCTCTCTGTCTCGCTGTCTCTCTGTCTCGCTCGCTGTCTCTCTCTGTCTCTCGCTGTCTCTCTCTGTCTCTCGCTGTCTCTCTCTGTCTCTCGCTGTCTCTCTCTCTGTCTCTCGCTGTCTCTCTCTCTGTCTCTCTCTGTCTCTCGCTGTCTGTCTCTCTGTCTCTCTCTCGCTGGGCAGGAGTGTGAACAATGACAACCTGTAGGAAGCTTTTCTGTCTCTCTCTCTGCTCTCCTCTGTCTCGCTCTCTCTCTGTCTCGCTCTCTCTCTCTGTCTGCTTCTCTCTCTGTCTCGCTCTCTCTCTCTGTCTCGCTCTCTCTCACTGTCTCGCTCTCTCTCTCTGTCTCGCTCTCTCTCTCTCTGTCTCGCTCTCTCTCTCTCTCTGTCTCTCTCTCTCTCGCTGTCTCTCTCGCTGTCTCTCTCTCTCTCTCTCTCGCTGTCTGTCTCTCTCTCTGTCTCGCTGTCTCTCTCTGTCTCGCTCGCTGTCTCTGTCTCTCTCTCGCTGTCTCTCGCTGTCTCTCGCTGTCTCTGTCTCTCTCTCTCGCTGTCTCTGTCTCTCTCTCTCTCTCGCTGTCTGTCTCTCTCTCTGTCTCGCTGTCTCTCTGTCTCGCTCGCTGTCTCTCTCTCTGTCTCTCGCTGTCTCTCTCTCTGTCTCTCGCTGTCTCTCTCTCTGTCTCTCGCTGTCTCTCTCTCTGTCTCTCTCTGTCTCTCGCTGTCTCTCTCTCTGTCTCTCGCTGTCTCTCTCGCTGTCTCTCTCTGTCTCTCTCTCTCGCTGTCTCTGTCTCGCTCTCTCTCTCTCTCGCTGTCTCTCGCTCTCTCTCTCGCTGTCTCTCTCTCTCTCTCGCTGTCTCTCTCTCTGTCTCTCTCTCGCTGTCTCTGTCTCTCGCTGTCTCTGTCTCGCTGTCTCTCTCTCTGTCTCTCTCTCTGTCTCTCGCTGTCTCTCTCTGTCTCTCGCTGTCTCTCTCTCTGTCTCTCTCTGTCTCTCTCTCGCTGGGCAGGAGTGTGAACAATGACAACCTGTAGGAAGCTTTTCTGTCTCTCTCTCTCTCGCTGTCTCTGTCTCTCTCGCTCTCTCGCTCTCTCTCTCGCTGTCTCTGTCTCTCTCGCTCTCTCTCTCTGTCTCTCTCTTTCTCTCTGTCTCTCGCTGTCTCTCTCTGTCTCTCGCTGTCTCTCTCTCTGTCTCTCGCTGTCTCTCTCTCTGTCCCTCTCGCTGTCTCTCTCTCTGTCTCGCTCTCTCTCTCTGTCTCGCTCTCTCTCTCTGTCTCGCTCTCTGTCTCTGTCTCGCTCTCTGTCTCTGTCTCTCTGTCTCTCTGTCTCTGTCTCTCTGTCTCTGTCTCTCTCTCTCTCACTCTCTCTCTCGCTGTCTCTGTCTCTCGCTGTCTCTCTCTCTCGCTGTCTCTCTCTGTCTCTCTCTCTCGCTGTCTCTGTCTCGCTCTCTCTCTCTCGCTGTCTCTCGCTCTCTCTCTCTCGCTGTCTCTCTCTCTCTCTCTCGCTGTCTCTGTCTCTGTCTCTCTCTCTCGCTGTCTCTGTCTCTCGCTGTCTCTGTCTCTTGCTGTCTCTCTCTCTTGCTGTCTCTCTCTCTTGCTGTCTCTCTCTCGCTGTCTCTGTCTCTCTCTCTCGCTGTCTCTCTCTCTCTCTCTGTCTCTCGCTGTCTCTGTCTCTCTGTCTCTCGCTGTCTCTCTCTCTCGCTGTCTCGCTCTCTCTCTCGCTGTCTCGCTCTCTCTCTGTCTCTCGCTGTCTCTGTCTCTCTCTCTCGCTGTCTCTCTCTCTCTCTCTGTCTCTCGCTGTCTCTGTCTCTCTGTCTCTCGCTGTCTCTCTCTCTCGCTGTCTCGCTCTCTCTCTTGCTGTCTCTCTCTCGCTGTCTCTCTCTCTCTCTCGCTGTCTCTCTCTCTCTCTCTGTCTCTCGCTGTCTCTGTCTCTCTGTCTCTCGCTGTCTCTCTCTCTCGCTGTCTCGCTCTCTCTCTCTCGCTGTCTCGCTCTCTCTCTCGCTGTCTTTCTCTCTCTCTCGCTGTCTTTCTCTCTCTCTCTCGCTGTCTTTCTCTCTCTCTCTCGCTGTCTTTCTCTCTCTCTCTCGCTGTCTGTCTCTCTCTGTCTCTCTCTCGCTGGGCAGGAGTGTGAACAATGACAACCTGTAGGAAGCTTTTCTGTCTCTCTCGCTGTCTCTGTCTCTCTGTCTCTCGCTGTCTCTGTCTCTCTGTCTCTCGCTGTCTCTCTCTCTCGCTGTCTCGCTCTCTCTCTCGCTGTCTCGCTCTCTCTCTCGCTGTCTTTCTCTCTCTCGCTGTCTTTCTCTCTCTCTCTCGCTGTCTCTCTCTCTCTCTCTCGCTGTCTCTCGCTGTCTCTGTCTCTCTGTCTCTCGCTGTCTCTCTCTCGCTGTCTCGCTCTCTCTCTCGCTGTCTCGCTCTCTCTCTCTCGCTGTCTTTCTCTCTCTCTCTCGCTGTCTCTCTCTCTCTCTCGCTGTCTTTCTCTCTCTCTCGCTGTCTCTGTCTCTCTGTCTCTCGCTGTCTCTGTCTCTCTGTCTCTCGCTGTCTCTCTCTCTCGCTGTCTCGCTCTCTCTCTCTCGCTGTCTCGCTCTCTCTCTCTCGCTGTCTTTCTCTCTCGCTGTCTTTCTCTCTCTCTCTCGCTGTCTCTCTCTCTCTCTCGCTGTCTCTCGCTGTCTCTGTCTCTGTCTCTCGCTGTCTCTCTCTCTCGCTGTCTCGCTCTCTCTCTCGCTGTCTCGCTCTCTCTCTCTCGCTGTCTTTCTCTCTCTCTCTCGCTGTCTTTCTCTCTCTCTCTCGCTGTCTCTCTCTCGCTGGGCAGGAGTGTGAACAATGACAACCTGTAGGAAGCTTTTCTGTCTCTCTCGCTGTCTCTGTCTCTCTGTCTCTCGCTGTCTCTCTCTCTCTCTGTCTCTCGCTGTCTCTCTCTCTGTCTCTCGCTGTCTCTCTCTCGCTGGGCAGGAGTGTGAACAATGACAACCTGTAGGAAGCTTTTCTGTCTTTCTGTTGTCTTGGTTATGAAGTAATATATTGCACGTGTTGTCCACCTGGAGACGGCCTGCATTACAACAGCAGGGGGCGCAGTGTCAAAGACTTTTTGTAGTCCATCTTCAGAACATTGTAGTTTCATCAGGGCAGGTCACATCTGTAAAATCCGCCGTCGCATAATGACGTCGCTTAGAAAAGACCCGGCGTCCTCTTTTCCTGAGTCCTAACGGATTCTCCTTCACATCTTTCCTTGACCTCATGACGAGGAAAGGTGGTTAGGAAAGGAGATTTTTTTTTCACTTTTCGGATGCAGCCTTGGCTTCCTAGCAGGAGGGGCGGGACATGCGCATACAGCCGCCATCTTTGGTGTTAAGTGCTTTCCCCCTAGGATTAGATGGAGCAGTGATCTGATTGGACGCGGCGGTTCATTTGTAAATATAAAGATTTAGTATAAAAACTTTTTTACATTTATTCATTTAGCTGATGCTTTTTGTCCAAAGCGACTTAGAGTTGCTGTACATGTCAGAGGTCGCACGCCTCTGGAGCAACGAGGGCATAGGTGGGCGTGTCCCCCCCCCCCAGGTGTACTGCATGCTTCAGCCTGTAGGAGGCGCTCACACTGTGCTTTACTGCCCTGTTCTCTGTCTGCAGGCAAGCGGCGACAAGAAGTCAGACTGAAGAAGACGGTTTCCAGCTTCTCTCCTCTTCATCATCCTCACCGTCCCACACAAACAGCCTGCGCCGCCTGCATCCACCTCGCCATCCTGCCCAACAGTGTGATGTCACTTTCTTTTTTCGGGATCGGCTGACGATTGTTTTCTCTCTAACTGTATTTGAAGATTGTTCTTCGTTTTCACGGCGAAAGAAAACAACCTGAACTTCACTCCTGAGTTTCATTCCACAACCAATCAGAGCCCCCCCCCAGACATTGACATCAGGATTAAAAAGTCTCTTTCTGTCAGAAACCACCGAGTGAAGTTCAGGTTGTAGATGTATTGAATGTAAACCGCCTGCAGGATCTTCTTTGTATGAGCAGAACCAAACGGCAGCACCTCCTCCAGAGTTCCTTCATTTGAAAAACGTTCCACGGGACTTTCAGGACCGTCAGACAGACACGGACTTCTGTTCCAGTTAAGCGGTAAAATAAGATTAAAGAAGATCCTCCAGACTTCGGTTCTGCTCGTACAAAGTGACCCGTCTCCTGTTCTCTCCTAATAAACACGGTTGATTTGTGTTAAAGATTTTCTTTTCTTGTTGTTTTGGAGGAGCTGTCTTCCGTGTTCTGTTGTTTTGAGCTTTTTGTTTCTGGGTCCGGTCGGCCTCTAACACTCTGAAGCCGCCGCCGTCATCTTCTGAAGTCGTTCCGTTATTGATCCCCTGGAGGGGAAATTCGGCTGGTCAGAGCAGCGCAGGGCAGCGTGGTGCGAAGCTAAAAGAAGAACCAAGTCCAGTAAATTAGAATCAGTAAATCAGCTGTTAGCGGTCTTTTCCTTTATCGTGTGACGTGACATTTGATGAGGTCGTCCTGACTCAGAGCGCCAAACTTCAAGTCGGGTCAGTGAAGCTGAAAATAATGTTTGTCTTCTCATGAAGTTTACGTTTCCTCTCCGCTGCACCGTCCGGTCGTTTGATTATGTGCAGATTGTTTTGGAGGTGTGCGCCTTAAAGCACCAGCGCTGTAAGTGCCTGAGCTGATGTTGGGCTCCCGCACACCCCGAGCTCCACTTCCTGTCCCTCCCTCTGATCTGAGGAGCTTACAGCGTGGGTCACCTGACGAGTTTTCCTGTCTCTAACTGGTCGTTGTCTTTCAAACTCTCGCTTTGAGAAGAGATTTCTGTCTGAACGTGTCGGCCAGCAGCTCCTCATCAGCTCACGTCTGTCCTTTATTTTTCTGTCCTCACCTGTACTTCCTCCACATTCCCTTTCGCTGCACTTTGTTTACAGAAACCTTCCTGTCACAGAAATGAACCCAGACTCAGTTTGTCATCAGCAGGACGTTTAAATTCTTTTAGCTGGCGTTATGTCTGATGCAGAATGTGCAGATTTATTTTTAGGTTTTTGTACTTTCATCATGAGATCTTTCATCTTTAAGAGAAACTCTGCAGTTTGGTGTGATGATGCACAGATTGGTTCACCTTTAATACATGATGATCTGTTTCACTTATCAATCCAATAAAGAGCAGAAACTTTGGACATGAGTCAGCTGGTTATTCAGCCACACTTACACCAAACCTCATTCTAATATTTCTGTTTAAACACGTGTGTTGATGAACCGTAACGAAGTTGTTCTGTGTTTAGTTTGGAAGAAACTCCTTCAGTAAACCTGAGGTGACATAGAGGGCGCTGTTCACAGGCATCATGGGAGTTCTGGTGAAATAAACCAGCAGAGGAGCGTCTGCAGAGAGCGGGTATCTTCTTTTTGTCTGTTTGATGCTCAGCTGGTTCTGACTGAGGAAAACACACAAGCACAATTCAATTTAATTTATACAGCGCCAAATCACAAGTTATCTCAGAGTGTTTTTCATAAACGGCAGTAACCTGCAACGTCCGGTTACACTTTCAAAATAAAACACTAGCGTTTCGAAACCTCAGGGCTTCCCCCAATATGTCGAACTGTGACGGTAAAGGGATCAACCGTGCGTTACAAACTGACAACAATGGCTCTTGACCATCCGTCCATATGTGACGATTTGGGAGTGAGAACCGTGATATAGTAACCCAAAACGGAGTTAAAAAAATTACACCATCAGGAAACATCAGGAAACAGAGGGACCCGGGTACACCATCAGGAAACAGAGGGACCCGGGTACACCATCAGGAAACATCAGGAAACAGAGGGACCCGGGTACACCATCAGGAAACAGAGGGACCCGGGTACACCATCAGGAAACAGAGGGACCCGGGTACACCATCAGGAAACAGAGGGACCCGGGTACACCATCAGGAAACAGTGTACAGGTACACAAGTGGCCTTCATGGAAGTCTTGCAGCCTAAACACAATAGAGGTACTTCAGTCTTTTCTTCTCATGCCACTTTCTACTTCTACTCCGCTGCATTTCAGAGGGAAATATAGTTTTTACTTCACCACATTTACATTAAAATTAAAATCACATTTTGCTCACAAAACATAATAAAAGTAAAAAGGTACAGCTGGCTCTGGGTAACGGACGGCTGAATCTTTACTAACGAAACAATCAATGCAGTTTGTCCATTTGGGGTACTGTAGAAACATGGCAGTGCAACATGGTGATGTCCTTGTAAGAGGACCCGCGGTCTGTGTAGATAGAAATGTCTTATTCTAAGGTAATAAAAAGAATAAAAAGTCAGAGGGAGTTCCGGGAGTGTAGTTTGATGTGCTTCACGGAGACTCGGCTACACTCTGATATTCCTGACAACAACTTCTCCATTGATGGCTTGCAGACTGTTTGGGCCGACAGGGATTGCACCGAGAGCGGTAATGTAAGGCGGGGGGCGGGGGCTTGCCGTTCTAGTTAACAACAGATGGTGTAATCCTGGTCACATTGCAGTTAAACAGCGTATCTGTAGCCCCGACACTGAACTGCTTGCTGTGGGACTCCGGCCATATTATCTGCCATGTGAAATTTCACATTCCATCACTGTAGCTGTTTATATTCCGCCCTCTGCCAACCACAACGTCAGCGTGTAACGTAATTTGCACAGCCATTGCTGAACTCCAGAGTCAACACCCTAGTTCCCTCATAGTGATCTCGGGCACACCACACTAACCAACTTCACCCAGTATGTGAGCCCAGTATGTGATATAATATAATTAATGTGCAATACTATCCTGCAATTCTGCTGCTACATATTCACCGTACTGTTCTCCATTACAATTTTTTAATAATGTGCATTTTGTACATATCCATTCCCCTTTAAATTTTTCTTATTTTATATTTATACCGTTATATTTCTTTATCTACCTTCTTTCTGTTATTATTTCTGTTCCTTATGCCTTGATGTGCAATGTGTGCAACTGTAACACAAGAATTTCCCCTCAGGGATCAATAAAGTACAGTATTTCTGATTCTGATTTCTGATTATACTCGTACTTTACTGCAGTAACACTGTCACTGCAGGACTTGGCATTAGTACTTTTACTGTAGTAAAGGGTCTGAATGCTTCCTCCACAGCACACATGTCTGTCTGTGTCTTGTGTCTAAACATAGCGTCCCAGCCTCGCCTCCACCCGGTCTTAATAAGGCAGCTGTTGGTCCAAACGGCCGTTTGGCATTAGGAACCAGTTTGAGCCACTCTGTCGAGCCTCTCCACCATCTCATCAGACCAGATCAGCTTTCACAGCCGGCAGGACGTCTCCAGACCTTTTTTTAAGCCTCCAGTATTTCTGTCTTGTGCGTCCTGGGCGTTCAGACTGGTTTGTGCTTTTTATTGTGGCCAGCATAAGGCACACCTGTGCAATCCCCATGCTGTCTGATCAGCATCTTGATATGCCACACATGTGAGGTGGATGGATTATCTGGGCAAAGGAGAAGTGCTCACTAACACAGATTTTGACAGATTTGTGAACAATATTTGAGAGAAATGGGCCTTTTGTGTTCATAGAGAAAGTCTTAGATCTTTGAGTTCAGCTCATGATGAATGGGGGCAAAAACAAAAGTTGTTGCCTTTATAATTTTGTTCAGTATAGTTACTTAATTATATATACTTACTTAATTAAGTAAGTACTTAGTAACTTGGTTATGTACTTGTGGTTGTGGTGGCACAATGGATAAGACACATGCCTTTGGTGTGACAGACCAGGGTTCAATCCCTCACTGTGACCCGTCCACCATTGTGTCCCTGAGCAAGACACTTAACCCCTCGTTGCTCCAGAGGCGTGCGACCTCTGACATGTATAGCAATTGTAAGTCGCTTTGGATAAAAGTGTCAACTAATGAATAAATGTAATGTACTTATTTGGTTATTTATTTATGTACTAAGTTATATACTCAGTAGAGTAGTGAGTGGACTCTGCCCTGAGTTATTTACTTATTTATTTATCTAGTTACTTAATTTACTTAGTTACTCACTTACTTTGTTATTTACCATAAAACTTCAATTAACAGCCGCCTGCCCCATTTACTTATAGCTGACATTAGCTAACGCTGACGTAACTTAACATTAGCTACCTAGCTTTATGTGGCCTGTCTCATTATTGTTAATCACAAGGAACAAGTTGTCACCACATTTCCCCTCAGTCTCTCACACTGCATTAGCTACTTCCCTCAATATGTTATCCTGATGAACCCCTGGAATTAGGTAGCTTGTGCTCCTAGCTAAGTGGTTAATAGCCTTTTTATATACAGTCTATGCTAATAGCTGGCAAGTAACTGAAACTAGAGCTCTGAAAAGACAGGTGTATATCCACAGGTAAGCTAACTAGCTATGCCAACGTCACTTACACATAGCTTACCTTTCTTTATGCTTTCTTTCTAAGTGGCAATAAAAGTTTAACGTGGTATCAGACGTCTCCGTAAGGTTTCACTACAGAATTTACAGATAGCTGTGTGTTTTCTTCTGCACGTTGTTTAACAGATGACCTCTTTATGGTGTAGGCAGCCAGATGTTAGTATGAAGATTTTGCTGACATAACCTCCTGCTGTTTCCCTATTCACTTTCTTGGTGCTTGTGATGGGGGCGGGGAGGGGTGAGAGCCGTTAATGCTAACAAACATTTTAATTAGCAGTGAGTCACGTTATTGATTGTAGTTGAAGCCGTAGGTTTTACATTCCAATCAAAGTTAACAAATAAATCAGACAATGGACAGGCAGTTTATTGATATACCCACAGCTCTGGTCTTGAAATAAAATCCTGAGTACTCTATTTTCAAGACAAATGTGGTCAATTCTGAGACCTTCAAAATGTGGTCTACGTGGAGTACAACAACACCAGAGTCTCAACTCAAACTTTCATGTTGTGATCAATTCAATTCACTTCAATTTTATTTATATTGCGCCAAATCACAACAACAGTTATCTCACAGCGCTTTTCATAAAAGAGCAGGTCTAGACCGTACTCTATGATGCTATTTACAGAAGCCCAACAGTTCCTACCAAGAGCAGCACTAGGAGACAGAGGCAAGGAAAAACTTCCTTTAAGAGGCAGAAACCTCGAGCAGAACCATGGCTCAGGGTGGGCGGCCATCTGCCTCGACCGGTTGGGGTGAGAGAGAGAGAGAGAGAGAGAGAGAGAGAGAGAGAGAGAGAGAGAGGAACAGAGAAAAAGAGAGGGCTGTAAGGAGAGAGAGAGGGGAGGGAGGCAGCCTACACAATATCCACACAGAGGTACAGACAGTAAAGGTGATGTTGCTATAGACTAAATGAAAAATGGTACAGATATTTATAGTAGTGTTAATGGTAACCATCGTAATGTTAATGATTATAATAACAATAATAACAATAGGACTAGCAACAATAGTCGTTGCAGCAGAGGGTGTCGAGCAGGAACACGGGGGCAGCAGGTGACCCGCAACCACAGATCCAGACTCCACAGCTCCAGAGCCAGAAAACCTGCAGGAAGTGATAGGAGGAGAGAGGAGAGAGACGAGAAAGCACAAGACTACCAGAAAGGGGAGAAGTTGTGTTAGTAACATGCAATAATGGGATAAGGTTGCATACAGAGGGAGAGAAAGTAGAGGAGAGAGGAGCTCAGTGCATCATGGGAAATCCCCCGGCAGTCTAGGCCTATAGCAGCATAACTAAGGGATGGTTGAGGACTCACCTGAGCCAGCCCTAACTATAAGCTTTATCAAAGAGGAAAGTCTTAAGCCTACTCTTAAATGTGGAGATGGTGTCTGCCTCCTGAACCCAAACTGGAACCTGGTTCCACAGGAGAGGAGCTTGATAGCTGAACGCTCTGGCTCCTAGTCTACTTTTGGAGACTCTAGGAACCACAAGTATCCCTGCATTCTGGGAGCGCAGTGCTCTGGTGGGGTAGTAAGGTACTATGAGCTCTTTAAGATATGTGTTCACAAATGAAAGACGACCCAGACAGATCAGTTGTTTGTCATGACGTTAGTTTTATTGCCTTGGTAGTGAATGGTCACAGTGGCTTACAGCATGAAGACCCTCACAGGGGTCAAACAACGAAACAGGTGACCTCAGGGCTCAAAGTTAAACTCTTTCTTCAACGCAGAGCCCCTAGTGTCGTCACTATCATTAACACAGCTATTTATTCATTAATTAAGCTACTTATCACCTAATCGATTGTCTAATCTACAGGTATGGATGGAAGACTGCGGTTTACAGGAAGTCACACAGACACAGGTACAAGAAAATGGCCGACGCCGGGACGAGCAAGGTCAGCATGTAGCTCAGTTTGGGCTGAAAACACACAAGACTGAAATCACTTTAAAAAAAACTTAGTTTCAGCACCAGAGGGAGAGAAGATGAAGATTAACTATATTTCTGGAAGCTCACGCAGCGGAGGAGGACGGAGGTTTCAGACTGTGGACGACTGTTTGCTGATGATGTTGTCATTTCCATTCGATATTAATAAAAACGTTTTAAGCTGTTACCATCTCCCCCACTCTTGGAGACATTTTATTAGACATATATTTGTTGCTATTTTTCTGGCTCTGTCACAAGAAGATGACTCTGATTGGATGATTCCTTTTCCAATTGAGGACACAGTCGTCAATGAGCTTGACAACACACCTCTACTGATCACTGCTACCATTGGAAATGTGATACAGGTGTCAGAATTGGACACGTTAAAGCCTGATTTATACCTCTGCGCTGAGCCTGACTCGCACATCCTCAAAAATGTAACTACATGTGGCCGAGACGTAGACCGCAAGAACTGTGATTGGTCGGATTGGTAGCATCATTTCCACAGGAAGTGCTCTGTGCTTTGAAGCCAAACCAGCGGCTGTAAAATGGTGGATACTTTCTTTAGAGCGTCACAACCCCCGAGTCATTCAGTTGATAACATTAGGAAAATCTAAAAGAGTCACTCGGTTATTATTGTACCTCAATTCAAGTTAGCGAAGGGTTAACAGGAAGTTAGATGGCTCACCGGCAGAAGTCAACAGTGGCACATAGAAATCCACCTTCAGCTAGTGCTTTGGCGGTGTAACTGCAGAGAGATGCAGACACCATCGCACAAGTATAAATGTGAGGGTACGTGCATTGCCAACGCCACAGATATCAGAAGAATAAATCAGGCTTTAGTCGTCATCATAAGACTTGTTCAATTTTTCATCTACTTATTTTAGCTCTTCATATATTCGTCGTATCTGATGAACCTTGTGATGTTTTTGTTAAAAGGAACCTCCAGTGACAACGTCTCTCTCTCGTCTTTAAAGCGACTTGCTCTCTGTTTTCAGCCCAAACATGATGGGGTGTCCCGCCGAGGGAGAGCGCCCCCTGCTGCTTCCAGTGCTACAACATCAGACCTCAGGTCAACTTCCCAAAACACACGAAGGTGAGAAAGTTGTTTTATATCCTGATGGAAGATTTCGTTTTTCAGGAGCACCAGTGACGCGTCGTAAATACCAGCCTGAAGAAAAGAAAGCAACTTTCCCGTGATCACAAGAAACCAAAAAGAAACAAATCTTTTTCCCTTTGAGCTTCAGTAGTTTTGTTTTTGGAGGTTAAAAAACACTTTGGCAATGTTTTTGGCTGTAAAATCACTGATCACTAAAAAATCACTGACAGTAAAATGAAGCTGAAGTAAACTCTGCTGGTCTGATAACGCCTGGAGGGGGAAGCAGACTTCAGTCGTTTCTGGGAGGCCGGCGCTCTCTGCTGAAGGAAACCAGCTGACAGGTTGTTTTTTTTGGCTGAAGAGCACAAAGACAAGATGAAACGTCTGGTAACGTACATTTTCATTTTCCGGCTGCAGACCCTCGGACCCTCCCAGGCTCCAGCTCAGAGACGACACGTTAAAAAACAATAATGCTTTAAAAATAAAAGGTTCTATGTTTGATCAGAGTTTCTATAAAATACTGCTCAGGTTAGTTCATTAGTGGAATCACAGATATCAGTGGCACTTGAGTCACCTGTGACCTACAACAACATGTGATCTGTAAAGTTTTAATCTGCACTGCGGAGTTATAATCTCCAGACCAGCCAATCATCTAGTTTCTATCATTAATTAGTCAGATTTGAACTGATTTAAACTGTCAGAGTCCGTCTTCAGTTCCTAATTAAAAGATTATTCAGAAAGATGCTTCAGGTCAAAGATGGAGAATCAGAGACGCTAGAAGCAGATCGTTGGTGCAGCCAGTGATACTTGGGATTGTTAACGTCACAGCTGATCGTGTGAGGGTCGATAGTGAACACCCCTCAGTTTGGGTTTAATCACCCTGAAGGACAGACTTTGGCGGCCGTGAGGCGGCCATTTGTGTTTCAGACTTGTTTTGGCGTGATTGCGTTGTGTTTTTAAGATCAGGAAGGGACTGAGCGGATTGGCTGCTGGGACTCTCCATATATGGCCATGTCTCATATTAACTGATTAACTGGTAAGAAGGTGTCTGGAAGCTCCCACTGACTGCTGGGACATGTAGTTGTTTTTTCTGCTGCAGCGTCTGTCCAGGTGGCCATCTCACCTTTGAGGTAGCTGTTCTGCTGCGTACTGATCAGCTGGTCGTTGCAGCGTCACATGGGCTTCCTCAGCCTTTACCGTGTTTTTTCTGTTCACTTTTAAAACATTAATTAAAGTTACTGCACCATCTGCCATGATGTAGAACATGTGGAAAGTAGATCAAACTTTCCTTTCTGCTTGGAAATAATAATACTTATAATAATGTGAGCCGTGGGGGAAACACACAGAGACAAAATAAACCAACTAAAACTAAAACTCTTCAAACATTTGAGCACTTTGAAAATTAGAAATCAAAAAAGTAAAGAAAGATTCCCTTTCATGGTGTGTTCAGAGCCACACGAAGCCTCGCCGGCCTTAACATCACTGCATTGCAGCAAACCCGCCAAAATAAAAAGCCCCGCCGCTCGCTGCTTGTTCACATTAGCCAGTCAGACGTCACCTCACTGCTCCAGCGTACTTTTAATAGATTAACTCCGGAAGCAGAGCCACCAAATGTGACACGTCTACGTCCAGTGAGCCCAGTTTTACAGTTTTGGTTTAATTTCTTAAGCCAGTTTTATTTTCACAGCATCACATGTGCTGTCAGATTTCAGCTTGTCGTTATGGCGCTGGTGTTGGAGAACCTTTAAAGCTGCGGCCTGAAGCGGGCCGAGCGGGGAAGCGTTAACCTGCTGCTGACGTTAGCATTAGAAGCTAAAAGAAGTTGGATCTGAAGGTTTGAGTGAGGGAGCCTGAAGCTCGTGTTCGCCGGCTCAACGTGAACAATCAGTCAGAAATCATCATCATCATCATCATCACATTTACATAGTGCATTAAATATTGATACCACACAAAGATATTCAATATATATATATATATATCTGTATATGTATCAGCAAAATAAAAGCCTCCACAAAATAAATCTCTGGTTCATTTTACAATATGTAAAAGAAAACTTCTAACAGGATTCTGTTTCAAAGTGCCGGCCAACAGTGTGCAAACGTGTACTTTCATCAAATCTGACATTCTGATGGTTGCTTCCCCCTGATAGGTGGATGGTGAGTGTTTGCTAGGAGACAGAGTTGGAGACACGCCCCCCCCACAGACTGCTGATTGGTGGAAACTAACCAGAGCCTGCAGTCCTGCAGGGTTTGGCTAGTCAGCCGTACGGGCTCTGGAGTTAAGACAACGACGTAAGGCAACGCTCGGCGTCCAGCTGAGTCCCCCGGCTCTCATCTCCCCCACCAGCTGATCGGACCGGTTCATACGGACTCTTCCTCTGATCCTTTCTCAGTACCCTAACCCTCACGGCGACTTTAGAGTTTTAAATTTAAAATGAAGGTCCTGCTGGTCGATCTGAGCCCAGCACGTCCTGGATGTTGGAGGCTGACTCTAACATCTGATTACAAAATATCAGCCACTAAAAACTCAAACACGTTTGATAAGGATGCCTTTAACAGTGAAACTGGAGCTTCATGGAGCCTCGGCGGCTGTCCTTTGTGCTGACTGGATGAATCTGGGTTTTCAGGGATGGACAGAACCAGCAGGTTTGTAAGACGAAATAAGAATGAATCTGTAATCAGAACCAGCCCAGGAAACCAGTTCCTAACGTGTTCCTGTTCAGTTTCAGGACCAGCTTCAGCTGGAGGAGAGCGCGGCGTTTGGTGGGAGGAGCTCAGCCTTGATGAGACTATAGAAACGAGAAAGAAAAAGAAGAAGAAGAGAAAGGAGGTTGATATTGGCAGCCTTGAGCCCTGGTCTGGGATCAGCCCTGCAGGGCGATTATCGCTCTGTTTGGCACTTTAGTCGACGGCCCGGGGACGCAGAGGAAAGCCCGACCTTTGACCTGCTTCTCACACATGAAGTCGGATCCAGAACCAGAAGGGGTTAATCCCAGAGGGATTCCAGTCTCTGTGTTATTCTGAACTGTGCTGCGTCAGACTTTAATCTCTGTTTGTGTTCAGACCAGGACTCCTGGATGAGCCTGGGATTGGTCGGATGGCCGAGTTGTGATTGACAGAAGGAGGAGCCTAAGGTCAGGTAACTGAGGCAACGACACGACCCGGCCGAATGAAACTGGTTCTGTACTCAAACCGAACGACGGCACAAAGTGACCCAGCTGCAGAACATGTTCTCTAATAATCAATGCAGCTGCTCTGCGGGAACCAGATCCGCTTGTAAGAAGCTGAACCGGGTCGTGTTTGACCTGATAAATCACCTGATAATCATCAAATTAGCAAAACTGTTGCTTGTTTAATTTTTTTGGAAAGCTGCAGGTTCAGCTGGTAAGTGGACGTTCAGTTGGGATGTTTCCTTTCTGTGTGCATTCAGGGAAAAGTGGGCCCAGCTGGGCCCAGGTGGACCCAGGTGGATCCAGGTGGATCCAGGTGGACCTCGGTGTGACAACAGGTCGGAGGTCAGAGACCCGCTCACTGCTTAGGAGTCCGGACTGTTCTGGGATCAGTAGCAGGACTTTAGCTTCAGCGCTGGAAGGAGACGAGCAGTGCTGATATGTTTAAACGGCGGTTTGAGTTTCAGACTTCAACAATCACACGTCACATAAAGTGCTCATAGACGGGATCAAAGACCGCTGGCTGCTCTGGAACAGGAACTTCTTTTACGCTTCAGTCCTGCAGCCGAACTCTCAGACGTGGTCAAGAAAAGTCACGTTCAGGATCAGAAACTTTTCCTTTTACAGGTTTGACTGCAGGACTGAAGCGGATTCCCTCAGATGACCTCTGCTACCTTCTGGGGGTCAGTCAGTCCGTCGGTCCACAACTCTGTCTGGATAAACAGCCAGCACACACACAGGGTCAACGTACCAAACACATGCGTTCACATTTTTACCCACAATTCCAGACTGAATGTTGTTGGTGTGATGATGAGAGTGTGTGTGCGTGTGTGCGTGCGTGTGTGTGCGTGTGTGTTTGCATAGCCCCCCCCCCCCCCCCCCCCCCCCCCCACCAAGACAAGATTGCAGCCTTCATCCAACATGGAGGAAGTCCAGCCTCCAGGTCCTCCTCTCGTGCTCTTTGACGTGTTGTGGGAACATTTCGTCCTTTATTGAGACGTCGACGAAGCGACGCCCTCTGCGGGGAAAGAACTCAGTGAGCTGCTGGTTTTAATCACAAATTTAGTTCATCTGGAAAAGAGGGAAGCTTTGGTCCGGCTGACGTTTGGTGGAGCAGAGGAGACAGACCGACCAGCGGATCCGGGGAGGTCCACTCTGAGGCCGGGTGCCGGGTGGAGGTAAGTCTGGAGGTCGGGTGTCGGCCATCTTGTCACAGGTGGGACGGATGGAGATGGAGCGCTGTGATCGGCGGAGTCCCGCCTACATGACGCTCTCAAAGATGATGACCTTGTTGTCGTCGGTGCCGGGGGACAGCGAGGTCAGGGACTTGATGTCGGGGGCCATGTACTCCAGGTGGTGGACCCCCCACACCGGAGTGGTCAGGTGGGCCCAGCGCTGCAACACAAAGCAGAAAGTTTAACGGACGCGCAGACGAGACGCCGCTTTTGCTTTATGTTTTATTGGCTCATTACCGACGTCCTGCTCTCAGCTCCCCCCCCCACCTGTTGGTCTGTGTAAAGTCCAAACAGAGGATCACTTCACAAACCTGAGGCCGAACGTTCAGACCTCTTCTGATAAAATCTGAAAATTACAGTCAAATCTGTTTTCCTCCACTAAATAAATATCTTAAAAGAAAAATGAAGTGCTGAGTCGTTCGTGATTCAAATGAATGAACTCAAACATTTATTGAACATTTGTTACTGAGGTAAATCATTGTTTCTGTACTGAACTCTAGCGTGTTCACAACAGGGGCGCAAAGTGTAAAATCTGCAGGTGGAAAGTTTATCTGCAGACTTTCACAGGACGCTGTGGCAGCGTTTGCTTTCCCCGGGTCCGGTGTGAGCGCTGACCTCTTTGAAGGTTCCCTTGGCTCTGAAGAGTTTGTAGAGGAGGCTGATGGGGATGCAGAGCATGGAGGACAGCGCCAAACACCAGCCAATCACCTCGCCCCACCACGGGTACACGTACACGTTGTTGTAGGTCAGCGGCTTGTAGTTAATGAGGTGGAACAGAAAGATGCCCTGCAGAGAAGAGGGGGGGGGGGCAAAGTTAATGAAGGCTGAACAGTTAATGTTACACCTGCTGGCTTTGATGTGTTAGTATGTTTAGAATAAAACCTCTCTGTGGGCAGAGGAACGTAAAGAGTGTTTGCTGAACGCCAACGAGCCGCTCTGTGACTTTCTGTGACATGTTGGAGGAAAGTTCAGCGCTCTGCTTACCATGCACACGCATGGAGTTATAAAGGACCAGCACCACTTCATCCAGGGGAAAGGCCGGTAGCCAATCATACGGGCCACATCGTCCATGAAGCGGTCGGCACCTGCAATAAAAGAGCGAGTCGTCAGTCCTCAGGGAGCAGATGTGACGCTGTAGCGGACTGACATTAACCTCCCAGGGTCCACGTGGAAACGGTTCACTGCGACATCCTACTGTGACACACTGCACTACTGCATAAAAGTACTGCATTATGACAAATATACAACATACTATGGCAGTTTTTATCACATATTATACTATGAAGTTTTTAACCACATACTATATTATGAAGTTTTTAACCACATACTATATTATGATTTTTTTTTATCATACTATACTATGAAGTTTTTAACCACATACTACAATATGAAGTTTTTAACCACATACTATATTATGATTTTTTTTTATCATACTATACTATGAAGTTTTTAACCACATACTATACTATGAAGTTTTTAACCACATACTACAATATGAAGTTTTTAACCACATACTATACTATGAAGTTTTTAACCACATACTATACTATGAAGTTTTTAACCACATACTACAATATGAAGTTTTTAACCACATACTATACTATGAAGTTTTTAACCACATACTACAATATGAAGTTTTTAACCACATACTATACTATGAAGTTTTTAACCACATACTATAATATGAAGTTTTTAACCACATACTACAATATGAAGTTTTTAACCACATACCACAATATGAAGTTTTTAACCACATACTATATTATGAATTTTTTTTATCATACTATACTATGAAGTTTTTAACCACATACTACAATATGAAGTTTTTTACAACATACTACAATATGAAGTTTTTTACAACATACTACAATATGAAGTTTTTAACCACATACTACAATATGAAGTTTTTAACCACATACTATACTATGAAGTTTTTTTACAACATATTACAGTATGAAGTTTTTTACCACATACTATACTATGAAGTTTTTTACAACATACTATACTATGAAGTTTTTAACCACATACTATACTATGAAGTTTTTTACAACATACTATACTATGAAGATTTTAACCACATACTATACTATGAAGTTTTTTTACAACATATTACAGTATGAAGTTTTTTACCACATACTATACTATGAAGTTTTTTACAACATACTATACTATGAAGTTTTTAACCACATACTATACTATGAAGTTTTTTACAACATACTATACTATGAAGTTTTTTTACAACATACTACAATATGAAGTTTTTTACAACATACTATAATATGAAGTTTTTAACCACATACTATACTATGAAGTTTTTAACCACATACTATACTATGAAGTTTTTTAACCACATACCATACTATGAAGTTTTTAACCACATACTATGAAGTTTTTAACCACATACTATACTATGAAGTTTTTACAACATACCATACTATGAAGTTTTTAACCACATACTATACTATGAAGTTTTTACCACATATTATACAATGAAGGTTTTTACCACATATTATACAATGAAGGTTTTTACCACATACTATACTATGAAGTTTTTTATTACATACTATACTATGAAGTTTTTAACCACATACTACAATATGAAGTTTTTAACCACATACTATACTATGAAGTTTTTTTTACAACATACTATAATATGAAGTTTTTAACCACATACTATACTATGAAGTTTTTTACAACATACTACAATATGAAGTTTTTTACAACATACTACAATATGAAGTTTTTTACAACATACTACAATATGAAGTTTTTAACCACATACTACAATATGAAGTTTTTAACCACATACTATAATATGAAGTATTTAACCACATACTACAATATGAAGTTTTTAACCACATACCATACTATGAAGTTTTTAACCACATACTATACTATGAAGTTTTTAACCACATACTATACTATGAAGTTTTTACAACATACCATACTATGAAGTTTTTAACCACATACTATACTATGAAGTTTTTAACCACATACTATACTATGAAGTTTTTACCACATATTATACAATGAAGGTTTTTACAACATACTATACTATGAAGTTTTTTATTACATACTATACTATGAAGTTTTTTACAACATACTACAATATGAAGTTTTTAACCACATACTACAAAATGAAGTTTTTTAAAACATACTATAATATGAAGTTTTTTACCACATACTATACTATGAAGTGTTTTACAACATACTATACTATGACGTTTTTTACAACATAATATACAATGAAGTTTTTTATAAAATACTATATAATTAAGTTTTTTACAACATACTATACAATTAAGTTTTTAACCACATAGTATACTATGAAGTTTTTTACCACATACTATACTGTGAAGCTTTTTACAACATACTACAATATGAAGTTTTTTACCACATACTATACTATGAAGTTTTTTACAACATACTATACTATGAAGTTTTTTACAACATACTACAATATGAAGTTTTTTACAACATACTATAATATGAAGTTTCTAACCACATACTATACTATGAAGTTTTTTACAACATACTATACTATGACGTTTTTAACCACATACTATACTATGAAGTTTTTTACAACATACTATACTATGAAGTTTTTTACCACATATCATACAATGAAGCTTTTTACAACATAATATACAATGAAGTTTTTTATAAAATACTATATAATTAAGTTTTTTACAACATACTATACAATTAAGTTTTTAACCACATAGTATACTATGAAGTTTTTTACCACATACTATACTATGAATTTTTACAACATACTATACTATGAAGTTTTTTACAACATACTACAATATGAAGTTTTTTACAACATACTACAATATGAAGTTTTTAACCACATACTATACTATGAAGTTTTTTACCACATATCATACAATGAAGCTTTTTACAACATAATATACAATGAAGTTTTTAACCACATAGTATACTATGAAGTTTTTTACCACATACTATACTGTGAAGCTTTTTACAACATACTACAATATGAAGTTTTTTACCACATACTATACTATGAAGTTTTTTACAACATACTATACTATGAAGTTTTTTACCACATATTATACTATGAAGCTTTTTACAACATTCTATACAATTAAGTTTTTTACAACATACTATACTATGAAGTTTTTTACCACATTTTATACTATGAAGTTTTTTACAACATGCTATACTGTGAAGTTTTTAACCACATTTTATACTATGAAGCTTTTTACAACATGCTATACAATTAAGTTTTTTACAACATACTATACTATGAAGTTTTTACAACATATTATAATGCAGGTTTTTACCACATACTATACTATGAAGTTTGTTACAACATACTATACTATGAAGTTTTTACAACATATTATAGAATGAAGGTTTTTACCACATATTATACTATGAAGTTTTTTTTACAACATATTACAATATGAAGTTTTTTACAACATACTATACTATGAAGTTTTTTACAACATACTACAATATGAAGTTTTTTACAACATACTACAATATGAAGTTTTTAACCACATACTATACTATGACGTTTTTAACCACATACTATACTATGAAGTTTTTACAACATACCATACTATGACGTTTTTAACCACATACTATACTATGAAGTTTTTAACCACATACTATACTATGAAGTTTTTTACAACATACTACAATATGAAGTTTTTAACCACATACTACAATATGAAGTTTTTTTTACATACTATACTATGAAGTTTTTTACAACATACTACATATGAAGTTTTAAACCACATACTACAATATGAAGTTTTTTTTACATACTATACTATGAAGTTTTTTACAACATACTATAATATGAAGTTTTTAACCACATACTATACTATGAAGTTTTTTACAACATACTATACTATGAAGTTTTTTACAACATACTATACTATGAAGTTTTTTACAACATACTATACTATGAAGTTTTTTACAACATACTATACTATGAAGTTTTTAACTACATACTATACTATGAAGTTTTTTACAACATACTATACTATGAAGTTTTTTACAACATACTATACTATGAAGTTTTTAACTACATACTATACTATGAAGTTTTTTACCACATATCATACAATGAAGCTTTTTACAACATAATATACAATGAAGTTTTTTATAAAATACTATATAATTAAGTTTTTTACAACATACTATACAATTAAGTTTTTTACCACATACTATACTATAAAGTTTTTTACAACATACTATACTTTGAAGTTTTTTTACAACATACTATAATATGAAGTTTTTAACCACATAGTATACTATGAAGTTTTTACCACATACTATACTGTGAAGCTTTTTACAACATACTACAATATGAAGTTTTTTACCACATACTATACTATGAAGTTTTTTACAACATACTATACTATGAAGTTTTTTACCACATACTATACTATGAAGTTTTTTACAACATACTATACTATGAGTTTTTACCACATATTATACTATGAAGTTTTTTTACAACATACTATAATATGAAGTTTTTAACCACATAGTATACTATGAAGTTTTTTACAACATACTATACTGTGAAGTTTTTTACAACATACTATACTATGAAGTTTTTTACAACATACTATACTATGAGTTTTTTACCACATACTATACTATGAAGTTTTTTACAACATACTATACTATGAAGTTTTTTACCACATATTATACTATGAAGTTTTTACAACATTCTATACAATTAAGTTTTTTACAACATACTAAAATATGAGGTTTTGAACCACATACTATACTATGAAGTTTTTTACAACATACTATACTATGAAGTTTTTACCACATACTATACTATGAAGTTTTTTACCACATACTATACTATGAAGTGTTTTACAACATTCTATACAATTAAGTTTTTTACCACATACTATACTATGAAGTTTTTAACCACATACTATCCTATGAAGTTTTTTTACAACATACTACAATATGAAGTTTTTAACCACATACTATACTATGAAGTTTTTTACAACATACTACAATATGAAGTTTTTTACAATATACTATACTATGAAGTTTTTTACCACATACTATACTATGAAGTTTTTTACAACATACTATACTATGAAGTTTTTTACAACATACAATATGAAGTTTTTTACCACATACTATACTATGAAGTTTTTAACCACATACTATACTATGAAGTTTTTTACAACATACTACAATATGAAGTTTTTTACCACATACTATACTATGAAGTTTTTTACAACATACTATACAATTAAGTTTTAACCACATACTATACTATGAAGTTTTTTACAACATACTATACTATGAAGTTTTTTACCACATACTATACTATGAAGTTTTTTACAACATACTATACTATGAAGTTTTTTACCACATATTATACTATGAAGTTTTTTACAACATTCTATACAATTAAGTTTTTTACAACATACTATACAATTAAGTTTTTTATAACATACTACAATATGAGGTTTGAACCACATACTATAGTATGAAGTTTTTACAACATATTATAATATGAAGTTTTTTACCACATACTATACTATGAAGTTTTTACCACATACTATACTATGAAGTTTTTAACCACATACTATACTATGAAGTTTTTACAACATACTATACTATGAAGTTTTTACCACATACTATACTATGAAGTTTTTAACCACATACTATACTATGAAGTTTTTTACCACATACTATACTATAAAGTTTTTTACAACATACTATACTTTGAAGTTTTTTACAACATACTATAATATGAAGTTTTTAACCACATAGTATACTATGAAGTTTTTTACAACATACTATACTATGAAGTTTTTTACAACATACTATAATATGAAGTTTCTAACCACATACTATACTATGAAGTTTTTTACAACATACTATACTATGACGTTTTTAACCACATACTATACTATGAAGTTTTTTACAACATACTATACTATGAAGTTTTTAACTACATACTATACTATGAAGTTTTTTACCACATATCATACAATGAAGCTTTTTACAACATAATATACAATTAAGTTTTTTACCACATACTATACTATAAAGTTTTTTACAACATACTATACTTTGAAGTTTTTTTACAACATACTATAATATGAAGTTTTTAACCACATAGTATACTATGAAGTTTTTTACAACATACTATACTGTGAAGTTTTTTACAACATACTATACTATGAAGTTTTTAACCACATAGTATACTATGAAGTTTTTTACAACATACTATACTGTGAAGTTTTTACAACATACTATACTATGAAGTTTTTTACAACATACTATACTATGAAGTTTTTTACCACATACTATACTATGAAGTTTTTTACAACATACTATACTATGAAGTTTTTTACCACATATTATACTATGAAGTTTTTTTACAACATTCTATACAATTAAGTTTTTTACAACATACTAAAATATGAGGTTTTGAACCACATACTATACTATGAAGTTTTTTACAACATACTATACTATGAAGTTTTTTACCACATACTATACTATGAAGTTTTTTACCACATACTATACTATGAAGTGTTTTACAACATTCTATACAATTAAGTTTTTTACCACATACTATACTATGAAGTTTTTAACCACATACTATCCTATGAAGTTTTTTTACAACATACTACAATATGAAGTTTTTAACCACATACTATACTATGAAGTTTTTTACAACATACTACAATATGAAGTTTTTTACAATATACTATACTATGAAGTTTTTTACCACATACTATACTATGAAGTTTTTTACAACATACTATACTATGAAGTTTTTTACAACATACAATATGAAGTTTTTTACCACATACTATACTATGAAGTTTTTAACCACATACTATACTATGAAGTTTTTTACAACATACTACAATATGAAGTTTTTTACCACATACTATACTATGAAGTTTTTTACAACATACTATACAATTAAGTTTTTAACCACATACTATACTATGAAGTTTTTTACAACATACAATATGAAGTTTTTAACCACATACTATATTATGAAGTTTTTTACCACATACTATACTATGAAGTTTTTTACAACATACTATACTATGAAGTTTTTAACCACATACTATACTATGAAGTTTTTTACAACATACAATATGAAGTTTTTAACCACATTCTATACTCTGAAGTTTTTTACCACATACTATACTGTGAAGCTTTTTACAACATACTACAATATGAAGTTTTTTACAACATACTATACAATTAAGTTTTTTATAACATACTACAATATGAGGTTTTGAACCACATACTATACAATTAAGTTTTTTACAACCTACTATACAATCAAGTTTTTTACAACATACTATACAATTAAGTTTTTTATAACATACTACAATATGAGGTTTTGAACCACATTCTATACAATTAAGTTTTTTACAACATACTATACTATGAAGTTTTTTACCACATTTTATACTATGAAGTTTTTTACAACATACTATACTGTGAAGGTTTTTTAAAAACATACTATAATATAAAGTTTTTTACTACATATTATACTATGAAGTTTTTTTACAACATATTATACAACAAAGTTTTTTACAACATATTATACAATGAAGCTTTTTACCACATACTATACTGTGAAGTTTTTTACCAGATAATATACTACTAAGTATTGTATGACATACTGTACTATGACAGTTTTTATGATATACTTCTCTATGATGTTTTGTACTTTACTAACTGTCTGTGAGGAGGGCGCTGGTGTGGACTGATAGCTGCAGAGGTGCCAGTTCACCTCCTGGGCCCTGCAGAGGTCCCATTGATCAAGGCCCTGAACCCCCACCTGCTCCAGGGGCCTGACTACGTGCCCCCCCCCCTTCTTCACGTGTCACTCCATGTGTGTCTAATAATAAGTGAGTGAAATAAAAAATGCTGAATTTCCCCTTGCAGGATAAATAAAGTCTGTCTTCTTCTTCTTTTATTGTGGCGTAGCATTTTTATAGCATGATAAGATCAACATCAGCAGGTCGAACTGTGACCTTTACTGTAACATCATGTGACAACTATTCACACACCTATTCTGAGATCAGATACTTTAGAGCGTCCCACCATGCAACACTACACTGTGTGTGTGTGTGTGTGTGTTGCATACCGTAGACCCAGGCAACTACTATGCATTCCCAGAATGCCTGCCACAGCAGTGTCATCCCGCTGGCCGAATAGTAGTCAAACAGTTGGAAGACATACATCCCTCCCTGCAGAGAAGGAGAGATTGACTGTCAGGTAAACTGAGTGACCAGCTGAAGAGTTGGCTTCTTGTTTTCTCTACTTTAAAGTTCAGTCAGAAGCTCCAGCTCTGTGTTCACAGTAGAGAGATATATTTATACATACCAAGAGCCGGTCTGTAACTGACCTGGGTCACCATGGAGAGGTCTATAATGAAGCACAGCAAGCAGCATATCGCCACAGAGATCTCCCGTTTGTAGCGATGGTGGTGCTTTCCAGGAAACACGTCCAGAATTCCAGTGACAAAACCCTCCACGCCGACAAACTGCAGACAGGGAGAGAGATGAACGGTTAGTCTGTGCGCCCATCACGTGGGTGAAAGAGACACACAGGTCAGAAAACCAAAAACATTTATTTTAATACACTTAATAAGATCCAGTTTATAAATGAACCCTCTACCGCAGAGCGTTTCCCAGCAGCTCTCACTGCTACCCGTTACGATTTATTTATATACTTGACGCTGTTTCAGAGACATGGAAGAATAGATATGATGCAACAGTTCTTAGAGGAGGACCATCGACATGAGCATCTGCTGTGAGGAAGACTAAACTAAATCATTTTGGATGTTTAGACACTAATAACTTGAGAATAAAAAAGATGTGCACCGTCTAAGGAAACATTTAAATGTTTTAAACATATTTTGAGGTCAAAATGCCTCAACGTCATGCATTCCTGCACTGAACAGGCACTCTGCAAATCTAGAAAAGTCTGGAGCAGAAAAGAGGTCAGCACATGGTGGGATCTAAATAAAACAGCTTCAACAGAAAGATGTTGGGACCATATTTGATTTAAAATCATTACTACGCCTGAGGCAGCACAATTATCTGCTGAGGGGGGTTTGTTATCTCAAATCTTCCAGAAAATAAGATGATTTTTTTGAGTGCAAAAACATAATTCATGTAGTTCAGAGTTAAGAACATTTGAGACATTACATTTAAAAAGCTATAATATATAAATGAGTAGTTTTTCCTATCTGAGCGTCATCGAATGCACCGCCAGCCTCTCTCTCTTTGACTTATTGTACTTTGAAGTACTATCACAGTTTCCTGCATTATACTATCAGACAGCATACGTTACATGACTCACTCTACTATGAAATACTTTCCACTGACATATTATACTATGACATACTTTCCAACTACATAATTTACTTTGACATACTACAATACGCCACAATTTTCCTGTGGTGCACTATTCTATCCCATAGTTTACTGACTGACAGTTTTCTGCCGTACTTTCCTGTTACAGAATACAGACGGCACATTTACTAAACTATGGCATACTCTAAAAAAACTTTACTGTGGCACAACTTAGACTGTAGAAATGATGATGATGATGTAACTTTGACAAAATAATAATGTGACTCGACTGAAACTTTTAATAGAAGTTTAATAGAAATAGGAAGGAAGGAGCTCAACCGAAAGTAAGTGGAGGTCATGTGATTTTCCATACATACACACACACACACACATATATATATATATATATATATATATATATATATATATATATATATACACTCCTGAACAAATCTTAAGACCGGGGAAACATTGCAAGTACTCGCATTTCGCGCTGGTGGATCATAACCGGGTTGTAAGTACTGCTTCAAAATGCCAAAAGAAGAAACAGGAGCAGAGACAAAAATAGAGAGTAGCATTTATTGAAAACTGCATTTAAACTCAAACAGGCTGTTCATCAGCTGATCAAGGTTTAAACCATAGCCCAAAATAACCTACAACAGAACTAAAAGTGTCAAAAAAGGACTCAGTAGTGAGTAGCCCCACCGTTCTTGTTGATCACTTCAAACGCTTGCTTCGGCATGCTTGATGCGACTGTTCCCAGGAGGCTGCTGGGAACGTTGCTTCATGTGGCTTCACGAAGGGCATCCACGGTCTGGAACTGACATCCGTTTTTGTAAACTTCCCTTGCCATCCATCCCCAAATGTTCTCAATGGGATTTAGATCAGGAGAACACGCAGGATGGTCCAAAAGAGCAACGTTATTCTCCTGGAAGAAGTCCTTCGTCAGGCGGGCGTTGTGAATTGCAGCGTTGTCCTGTTGAAAGACCCAGTTATTACCGCACAGACGGGGGCCCTCAGTCAAGAGGGATGCCCACATAGCCAGTCGCCGTTTGACGCCCCTGGACAACCTGAAGCTCCATTTTCCCATTGAAGGAAAAAGCACCCCAAATCATGATGGAGCCTGTTTCTTCTTTTGGCATTTTGAAGCAGTACTTACAACCCGGTTATGATCCACCAGCGCGAAATGCGAGTACTTGCAATGTTTCCCCCGGTCTTAAGATTTTGTTCAAGAGTGTATATATGTAACAGCAGGAATGAAGGGAGGTGTGGTCACCTGACTGTCCAGTCCCAGCAGCAGCAGCATGAAGAAGAAGAGCGCCGCCCAGAGAGGAGCCACCGGCATCAGACTGACCGCCATCGGGTACGCAATGAAGGCCAAACCCGGACCTGAAACACACGTTAGATGCTTAATGTGCAGTTTTTTACACTTTCTCGCTCTTTGCTGTTATCGTCCTGAGCCGCTCGCTCTGACCTCCTTGAATCCCTGAATCAATCACCGAGGTCGTTATCGTTAACACAAACTAACATAAAAATGACAACTAGGTGTGAAGAAACTTTACGGAAACAACAATAGCTGACTGAGACTGTGCCGTGAGACAAACTGACTAAACGTCTTCAGTTTATTCCACAGGCCCGACTGGGAATCAGCTAAGAGCAGCTGCCTCGCAGGAGAAGGTGATGAAAGATGCAGAAGAAGGGCTAAGTTAGCTTAGCTTAACAAGGTGAGGGAGGACGCCAAGCAGAAGCTACCTCGTCCCCGACAAATACCACAGATACTAAAGCTACTTTTTCAAAATCTAACAAACTGTTTTAAAAACAAATTGAACTAAACTGAAAAGCAAAGAAAAACTGTGATCTGGTCGTGACAGTTCAGAGTTCTTCTCCAAATGATTTGTGGCGTAGACTTTTATTTGTTCTTTCTTGTGACTGAGAGGTTTTTAATAAATGATCAACGTGTCCTGAACGCTTCACTGAACCCATCATGTAGCAGACTGGGCCTTTAAGCCTTTAAGGGGGGTGGGGGGCATGTTTGTCTTGATTGACATGCTTGTCGTCCAATCAGCTGTGACTCCTGACTGACACGTTTCCTGTGCAGATTAAAGGTGCACCGTGTTCACTGTTTCTGTGTCACATGTCCTGAGTGAAAAGGAAATAATCCTCCACACACTAATACTTTAAACCACGGGGAATGTGTCAGACGGGATTCAGAGCAAATTGGATTTGATTTTGTTCTTTTAGCAGCGAGATTAAAATAAAAAGATTCACGTCGTCACGCTGAAGCGACGTGTTTAACCCC